TTCTGGGCCCGAGGCTGCCGAGCAGACCTATGCCCTCCAGTACGACTCTACGCATGAGGAACTTTCCGCCCTGTGGAAGTGCTCTTCTGAGGATAAACATACCGAAGAATATGTTGTGAGGTGCTCCTGTGCATTACATTAGATCAACATTTGCCTAATAATACGCCCGTGCTGCTTTGTGACTCGAGCAAATGCACCCGCCCCTCTTCGAGATGCTCCCACTGTGATGCGTCAAGCACATCCGGGTGCCTGCGCTTGATCACGTCCAATGTGGACAGCAGCTTGCCGCTGTCCTTCGCCATCGCTTCTCTCATCCCAGACTCAACCTCTGACCAACGGACTTCGGCGCATCGATCAGTGAGTACCGAAGTTAAACCAGCGAGCAACGTGTGCACCGTGTGAGATTCCGGTTGTGATAGATTGTCGCCGAGGGGCATGTAGCCAAGGACGATTGTGTAATACAGGTACAACGCGAACCCGTCTTTCAGGGCGAGGACCTTCGGCATGCACCCAGCAATCTCTTCAAATGTTATGATGCATTCATGAGACATCGCCGAGCGAAGAGGCGAGCATCCATACCTGAATATCCAGTGTCTTTGACGTCCGTGTTCTCCAGCAGGTGACGAACGGCACCCCGCATGGACTCGAGCTGGGACATATCCGAATACACCTCCAGTGCACGAGCAAACACATCAGAAGGCACCTGTCGGCCATCCACGAGACCTTGTAGCAGCCCGTGTACAACCTCGATCTGGCCTGCGTCCGTCTTGCTCATCCTGGAAAGTAGATCGATGCCTATATGCGCGAGCAAGCTCATCTCCTCGTTCATGGCAGCGTGCTTCCATAGGGACTTGTTCAGGGTACTTTCGGCACGGCGTCCCGCGATGGCCACAAACGCATGTACAGCGGAGTCACTGTCGAGTCCGTGTAGACAAGGGCGGACGACATCGTCGAGAAATGTGTTGTCTGTAAGCGAAGCATCGGCAGCGATGAGTAGGTCTGCGTCGTAATCCGTGGTTCGTCTTTCGGCGAGCGTGTCTCGCAGCACGCGGACCTCGTAATGGTGCCATTGAGGGGGCGTAAAATTCTGTAACCCGAGCAGAACTCGGTTCATGCGGTCGATGAGGCTCATTTTGCGCAATTCGAACTTGAAGTAGTTCACGTCTCGGGGGATCAATGAGAGGTAGGCGGCGATATTGTAGACCATCCATGACTGCGGGGACTTGAACGGGCATAATCTGTCCATGCTGGGGGCCAGCAGCGTCCACGCGATCATCGCGAAGATCTGGACAATGAAGATCATGCAGCAGAGCGCCGTCCAGGTGTCGAGCGTCCACAAGAGGGTCGTAAGCCCAATCAGGAACAGTACCACGGACTCCTCCATGATGTAAGGCAGGTCAGCCAACATCTCGTTGACGTGAAATTGCTTCCATCCCTTCTGACGAAGGTACCATATGCGGGCGCGTCGGCGTGGGTCTGAGTCGTGGCTACTTCGATTGTGCGCCAGCCATTGCTTGAGTAAAATCCCTTTGATCGCGACCGAAAGACTGAGTATAAGGCTCGAGAAGAAGGTTATGTTGATGAAGATAGCAGTCCATGGTATCCCACTGCCATTTGGAGGCATCGTTGGACTCGCTGTCGTAGACGGGGAGCCAAGTGCACGTGAAATATCGACAAGCTGCGAGGAAAGCTGTGCGAGCAGCTGCAGAGAAGGGTCGGGCGCTGTAGGTTGCAGCATCGAGCACGTTTGTACGTTGAATGTGGATACTACAGCAGAGAAAAGACCGGCCTATAACGACATTTTACGAGTTGTAATCGCTCCCTGTGTACCAGGTGGAGGAATAATCGAATTCCGCGACTCACAAAGACTAACAAAGCATCAATTTGGTCGTCGAAAGCCTCGGTAGTTGATACTTGGTGTTGGACTAGTCGTCGAGCGCATGTTTCCCAGGCCTCGAATGAGCTCTTTGGTAAACAAGGGCTGTTATCGTTTCTCGTCGGGCGTGCACTGTTAGTATTATTCGAGTTCTACAAAACAGCGAGTAAGTAGATTGACAACCATACGTGCAGGGTTTGCATATACCATGTTAGTGGTCACCCAAACTAAAGGTGTTGAGGAGTTCGCAGGCAACGAGCGAGGTCTGTATGGACTCAACCCCGACCCGTCGTTGTTAGGTGTCTGGGTAACATTCATGCCTAAGACTCTGTGATCCGACAGATGCTCTCAAATGTCACTTACATCCATCACCGATACCCGGTATCCCTCAAGTTCCTAGAAGCAAGCAAGCCCAAGAGATGGTATGTTGTGGAATAGAAATAACTCGACGCACAAGCGTTCGAGGCACACGTATATCAGGGTATGATTTCACAGCGGGCGTTTCCGGCTCGTTTCCGACATGCGTGTCGAGGTCATCGCGAGAACTTCACGACGCTCCTGCAACGTGTTTCTACTAGTGTGAATTCTCCCAACTGCATCTCGGTTCCGCGCCATTGCGGTGCCCTCTGCCCTGTGGCACCACGCAGTCACATCTCGAATGTAGTACCTCGTATAGTATGTTTCACGTGTACTGATGTCTGAATCCTACGATACAAGCCATGCCGAGACGGCACACTCGCAACACCTCGAAAACGTTTCCGCAACGAGCCCGCAATGGCGCGGAAACGCACTCCATGAACCCCACTATTTGACACATGCTATACAGGTACCGAAGCCCGCCCTGTGCCGGAAACTACCGGCTGCCTCGCCGCACTCAGCTATGGTATCCAAATACCTAGCTTTCATCGTGATATAGCTCAGATATTGTCGTTCTGTGCCTTGTTACAGGCGGTCAGTTAGATGCCATCCATGTGTTGTTATTAGAAGGGTCACCCGACAGTCTGCAATCATGTATCCACTCTCTCATTGTGCAGTTCAAGATTAGGCAGATTCTGTCTAAGGTAAAGAGCTACAGCGTGTACGTGTACGGATGGCACCACAGACATAAATCGATGTTCTAGCCTAGTAATACAGATGATCGAGAATGTGCATGGACCTAAGCCAATGTTCTGACTTCGAGACAGTTACAAACATCTAATAATATGCGTATTAAGGCCCCCCTTTGAGACTTTCTGAGCTTAAAAATATTGACAACACGCTCTGTACAACACAAACGGTCGCGGCTTCCGTGTAGGGCACATGGTCAAAGCGTGCTTCTAGCATGCAAGATGCTCCGACGTCGAAAAATCTTATATGTATTCAAGATGCTCCCAGGATGGTCCTAATTCGAGTGAAGTCAATACACTGGCTCAGACCCGAGCGTGGCTTGTGAATGTTGTACCTGATACCATAGATATATGCCCGCGGTGTGGATCGCAATGTACAGTGACTCCCCAGCTGCCTCGAGATGATTGCACGATCTGATCAGATTACGCTGGATAAGTTCGAACAGCAAGCACACTGACCCCATAGTCAGTACGATGGTATAAAGATACTTAGTGTAGGCAATCCACTTACGCAACAGCAGCAGAATCCTCCACATCCACCCCGTATCCTTTTTGCTTTATCATCAGCAGACCCGCCCGAGTCGTGACTCAGCGTCATCCTGGGCGTTGGGAGTGGCTGCGTCGCAACAACGTCTGGAGGCGGTGATATGTCATGCCGTGCGCGGGCCAAAGGAAGACGAGTAAGGGGAGTATCGGGGTTAGAGACGGATAGAATACGCAGGCTGCTCGGATCCGGTCCCGAACGCATAATGTAACCCTGTAGAAAGATCGTTCGTTGTCGATGGCTTATATGGGCCCAGAACACATTAATTTGACCCGGAGATGCATTTCTACTGACACGTGGCGTTCAGAAGACAAGGTGCCATCAGGCTAATTGTAAACGACTCAGCCTCACCTATCTTGCATGCAGCAGGATGTTTCGGGGCATATTTGCCCTTTTATCAAGCACTCGCCTCAACTGACACGGATCACTAGATACTCCGAGTGTTGGACGAGCGGACTGAAAGCGCAATAGCAATGCCCGAGTCATGGGTGAACGCAACCCGAATTGTGGTTTGAGACCAGACGTGCCAAGCAATTCCGACTTTGTGGCCGATATTTGCCAGGTCTTAAGTCGGCCTTCGTCAGGAAGCATAACCTTCATCGATTGAGTTGGTTTGGATTCGAAATAACCCGTAGATGCACAACAGGATGTGGCGGGCTCAGGCGTGGTGATAACGCTCCGAATTGCGACCACGAGGTTCAGTCAGTCCTTGACGCTGTCAATGACTAAATGGAAATAACTTTGGCCTTAGTCATTCTCACGGGAGATATAGCCAATCGAAAGTTCACCAGGTGCACGTGTAGATAGGAGGGTCGAAAGGTCAAATTGTCAGTGGATAACATAGCGACATGTGGCTGGTGTTACAGGTCGAATGGTGTAGCGATACAGAGTTGTTTGAATGGAGTCGAATGTCTGTCAGAAGCATCTTAATGTCCATGTGATATACAAAGAGACCCGTCGTATGTGGATCATCAATTAGCAACAACACGGGATGGGTATGATCCAACAAATGCCGCCGCCCTGTATGACAATCCGTCCGGTCAGCAACACGGTAGACGTATACACGCGGAAAACACGCACCGGGCAAGGAATGCAACCTCCTCTAAGTCTTTCCGCTCTATCTGACTGGGACCCTTTCTCGCGCGGGATATGGTCGAGAGACATGGGTTGTGCGATTGCAGGCTGCGTAGAAGTGACCCCGGTCCTAGTTGATATAACGGGGTCGCGGGAGTGAGCGACGGGCGGGTAAGTAACGGAGGGCGCAGAAGAGAGAGGCATGTCGGTCGTGGCGTACAGGTTGTGAGTTGGATGGATGGAGAAACGAGAGAACTATCAAGTAGACGAGATATATACACAGAAAGTAACAGATCATGGAGCGACCTGTGCGGGGCGAGCAGCCACCACCAGCCCCGCTGACGTAGTGTCCTTACTTCTCGTACGTGCACAGAGCCCAACAGGGAATCCGAGTATCAACGGCCCAATGGTCTAGAGGTAAGATACTTGCTTTGGGAGGTTCCAACAGGAACACGCAATTGCAAGGGATCCCGGGTTCGAATCCCGGTTGGGCCCTTTTTGCTGCCCTAGACCCCTGAGCTTCAGGCGCTCATGGGAGGACGCGGGCGGGCGTCTACAAAACAGTGTCTTCACTTTTTTCGCTTAGGCACCGTGATTCATCTTGAGTTGTTCAGCTCACAGGCTACTTCCATAAATTCGCCACCTCGTTATAGATGCATCAAGTCGCGTGTTACATTCTTGCATATGCTCAACTTCATCATTATGCAAATATTATCTTCATTGAACGCCATGGGTCTGAATCACACAAGTTCGTGGCTAAAATTGAACCAGATAACCCTCGCGTCCAAAAGTGCGAATGGTCAGACGTTTTGAAAGTCCACGATGTGCATCTCAAAAGCCGTCCTCTTGCGATCGGCCAGGGCACATACAACTCAAAGATCTCAAAGTGACCAGACATGGATCTGTTCAATTCCTTAGGCATATATCCAACGTAACGATGTCGAGTGATGATGCTCAAGAGCGAGATGCTTGCACAATAGACCGCAAAATCGGCCTGCGGAGTGCGTCCGAGCGTCATTGCATACACGCTGAATGGATGTCGGATCTACCATCCTGAAAGTCGGAAAATTACATATGGCGGGCAACACAACGTAGGAAAGCGGAGGATCCGAAGAGCTTTTGGCCGCCAGCGCAGCACTATGTAGCATGGTCATAAGGCATATGTACCCTGTATCTGACCTCACGAGCGGCCCGCGCCAGGCACGTTGCGGCGCTCCCGCCGGGGACCACGCTCGGGGAGAGCGAGGACAGGCGCAACAACGGAGACGGTGACGGAGTCGAAGTTGAGCGCGTGGAGGAGGTCCTGAGCCGGAGGTCAGGTTGTAAGTTAGCTCTAGCGCTGTGGTACGCACCTTGGTGTCGGGGTCGACCTCGAGACCGTTGGCGGTGGTGTCGAGGGCGGAAACCTCCGGGACGTAGTTGTCCTTGCGCTCACGCTCCTCCTCCTGGAGCTTGAAGGAGATACCGCGAACGGGGCCGCGCTGGATACGCTTCATCAAGTGGGTCGTGAAGCCGGCAATCTTGTTCCGGAGGCGCTTCGACGGCACAACAGCCTATATGGCGCACGCACGAGGTCATTATCTCCTTACTTCGGCTTGACTCCTGGCATGGAACTTACGACTTCATCGATGATACGCTTGTTGGTGTGGAAGTCGAGGGTGAGGCGGGGGTAGCTGGAACGCCTATGTCAGCGTGACGGTTCGTTTGAACGCAGAAATCTTGCAGAAGCCGCCAGCAGCCGTGCAGACGTTCAAGGGGGACGAATACTCACTACTTCTCGATGAGGACGCGAGAAGCCCTCTTTGTCGTCTTTGTGCGAACGCGACCCTAAGAACCAGCAGAAAAGTGTCAATCTTGCGCCAGGAGCGGCAGTATAGCGGGGTTGCTGACCATGATGAGCGAGAGATTGTCGGGGAGGCTTGACCCTAGGCTTGAGCTTGATGGGGACGACGGCGGCGAGACAGTCGGATAGGCCAGTGGCTGAAGCCGGGAGTTGCCGAGTGGCCGGATGGTTCTGTACAGTTCATCAGCCACCAGGCGCTTAGGACTCCGGAGGTGGCGCAGGGTGTTAGCGGTAAGTGCAGCAGCTCTGGTCAACGTCCCGGCCGTCCTCAAGACCCCCTCAAAGGTGATTGCGTCTCTCTTTGTCGTGTTGCGACTGCACGAGGCTACACTTGACGACACTCTTCGCGCCGTCTCTGTCGAATTCTGCTCGTCTTGACTCGTGCTTTCCGTAGCACGACACTCGGACTGAGCTAGGTTGCTTACTCTTCGCGCTCTTCCATCTCTAGTCCCTACCGTAAGGCCTTTCCCCCGCTCCCTCGCCCACCATGGTCCGCGTTTCCGTCCTCGTGAGTGCCTACTGCCATCGCCTTGTGAATAACTATCGTGACATTAGCGCCCAGAATGACTGCCTGAACAACATCGTCAACGCGGAGCGTCGCGGAAAGCGCCAGGTGCTCATCCGCCCGTCATCGAAGGTCATCGTCAAGTTCCTCAGCGTCATGCAGCGCCACGGTGAGCATTCAGTTTGGCTTGCACACGTCCACTACTCGGAGTGATAACTACGGATGGTGCGGTATTACTCCACCCGCCATTCGTTTTAACGCTCCGAAACATTAAACATCTCTTGCAACCATTACAACTCGTTTCCTCGTCTCCGTGGAATTTGGGTTCACAACGGAGATGACATTCCATTCACTTGAAGAGCATGGCGCTGACATACGATTTGCGACACAGGCTACATTGGCGAGTTCGAGATCGTCGACGACCACCGGTCCGGCAAGATCGTCGTCCAGCTCAACGGCCGTCTGAACAAGACTGGTGTCATCTCGCCGCGCTACAACGTCCAGGTTACCCAGATCGAGAACTGGGTCAACTTGCTCCTCCCTGCTCGTGGCTTCGGTATCATCATCCTGGTGCGTTTAACAGCTGTTGTTCATCCTGTTGCTGCCACTCATGATATTTGCAGACCACTTCCTCGGGCATTCTGGACCACGAGGAGGCGCGTCGCAAAAACGTTGGTGGGAAGCTCCTGGGCTACGTCTACTAGATGTCTGCACTCCTCATGTTACCCTACCCATGTATACGTAAAAGGAGATATGCGCAGGCATAGATCTATGACACTGTCCTAGGCACGAATGGGATGATTGTGCAAGTCGTCTGAGCAGATTGAGTGAGCAGTGCTCGTGAAGAGGCGCCTGCGGTCGGAAGGTGGCCGAAAGCGTCAAGACGTGGCTTCGCGGCTTGCTCCTGCACAGCTACCGCCGAACCATCTTACAGTCTCTTTATAACCCTCTTCATCCACCACCCTCTCCTGCTGTATGAACCTGATCTAGACGTCGACCACGAGTGTGCTTGCACGCTATATCGCTGTATAATGACCCTCCCTGCTAATGATGCCTTTACGCTTGGACTGCCGCATGACTCCTCGTCGCGACCAACATACTCCCTAGGTCTCCGCTCCTCGTCACCCAAACTCCCTTTTGTGACGAGCAGCAAATCATCTCATTCTCCAGCATCGCCCACGAAGCCACCACCTGCAACGAGGAGGCCATCCAGAGGGGCTCGCTCGACGTCACCGGACCTTCGGCGTCGTGTGAGCCACCGCAGTGACCCTGACGGTTCGACTCCAGCAAAAGATGCGACCGCCCTGGCCAAGGCATCTCCATCTTCATCACGACCAGCTTCGCCCCCTGAGCCTATAGATTGGGAGATACCCCGGAAAGCGCTGCACTCATCGATAGGTGAGCTGAGACGCCAGAAGTACCTCCAGGCCATTCTGAAACGTCCATCCAGGTTTCTTCACTCTCTATCTCTATGTATCGCATGGGTCGTCGCGTGCTGTCGTCAAAGCCTTGAGCCTCGCCCTCGCCGTCATCGTGCCCGCGGATGTCCTCCGTCTGAACTCCCCAAGCTTCGAGCGTTTGTATGAGCGCGTTATGGGCTTTTTGATGCGCGAAAGCGAAAAGGTACGCAGTCTCCATCTATGAAGTCATCGGCTTTCTGCTAAGCTGCTCCCACAGAAATCAACAAATGGAGTAATCTGGTACATCCTCGGTGTCGTATTTGTGCTTACTGTATACCCCCTTGACATCGCTGTCGTATCTATTTTCATGTGAGTGAATTTTAAGCGCTTCCAGCCTAACGCTCATCCTATCTTGTCAAAGCCTTTCCTGGGTGGACACCGCCGCCTCCACCATCGGTCGTATTTACGGCCGGCGCACTGCGCGCCTTCCTCGCAACATCTGGGGTATCCCCGTCCCATTTGCAACCCGCAAGTCCGTCGCCGGCTTCCTCGCCGGGTCCCTGACAGGCGTCTGCATCACTATTGGGTTCTGGGGTTGGATTGCTCCTCTCGGGGATGCTCCTCTGAGCTGGAGCTGGCCTACGAGCAATACAAGTAGCTTCGGGAACCTCGTTGTCCCCGGCGCGAGCGCGAAGGTGACAGGACTAGTCGAGCTTGGCTTACTCGGCATTGTGGGCGGGCTCGTTTCAGGCGTTGCAGAAGCACTCGGTGCGTCACAGATTTTTCAGTACTCTGGGTTGAAATATTGCTGACATTCTCATAGATCTGGGTTCACTAGATGACAACTTGACTTTGCCCATCATCTCGGGCGGCTGCCTTTGGGCTTTTTTCAAACTTGTTGGCCGGTGGTTTTGACGGCCATGTATCCTTGATGTTACTATATAGACTTTCTGGGCCAATCAGCCCCATGTTGATTGTTTGTAATTTACGCAGTTAGATAATGTCACGAAACCACGAGTGTTGAGATTTGGACACGTTGAGACTGCGTGTAGAATGCCCATCGTCGGATCTGGTGGCTGTGTTGAGCACGAGCGCTTCCAATCGAGCGGATCTTGGCTGGCTGGGCGTGCATGTCTCGCCCGACACTCACGTTACATGCCTTCACGTTCATCCTCCAGACTTCAGCCAGGTTCCTATTGCCCTCCAAACGATGCTGCAACTCACCGTGACCTACTACTCTTCGAGGAACGGCTGAAGTCCAACGCTGCCTCCTTGAAACGTCGCAAACGCCGCTATCAACGTGGGTCTTACCTCCGGCGCACAGATGCTGACAGTCATCTAAACATTCGTTCTGGCAGTCTTTCTCCTTCAGCTCTCACTCATAATCGTATTCTTGCTATCCGAAGTCTTGCTGCAAACGGACTTCCTCTCTGTACCATATAAGCTCACCCTCCAGACCGCATTGCCCCATATCTATCCCCAGAACGCGTACATCCGGCTACACCCTTATATCCCTTCAGCACTGTTATTTGTATCTGTAACTACCCTCGTGCTCTTCTTCGCAACCGGAACATACTCAGAGAAGATCGGCTATGCCAACCGGTATGTGACTTGCAAATTATTGCGTTCTCCCGCTCACTCTTCGAACACCACCACCCGTCAGCTACGTCCCGCACGCAAATCGCGCGCTGCGTGGCTTCAACATGTATCTCAACGTCCGTCAGCCGCCATTGCGGTCCAAACTACC